GTTGCAAACAGGGGGGTTGTTCCCATGAAAACGGTTAGAAAGGTGAGTTGATCTCCGAACAAGAGGAATGAGAAGAAGGAAATACCAGTGACGAGAAGAACCGCAGGGGTGACAAAGGCTGCCCTACGCCATCCAAAGCGCGGGATTATGCCCTTGAAGAAGAAGATAAGGGCAATAGTTGCTATCCCTGTAAAGAAGGAAAAGCTTCCCATGAAATCGCTGTAGGAAAGGGTGTCTGGGTACTGTTGTTTGACTTGGTCTTTCCACATGACGCCCATAATATTATTTGAAGCACCATAACCGATGACAAGAATCGCAATCAGCCCAATATAGCGAGAATGAACGATGTGTTTTAAGCTTTCTTTTAAGGTGAGCTTTAGCTTCTTTTCTTTCTTGCGGGCGTTGCTGAGCAAAGGTTGATAGTAAAATGGATCTGTTAAAACATTTCGGTTCATCCAGTAGCACAGTCCCATAATTGCAAAACATGCAACATTAAATGTCCAGTTGATGAGGCCTAAAAAGTCCCCACAAGGATCTGTCCCAGGAGCAGCATTTTTTTGTAATGTGCAGTAATGTTTTGCAATTCCCCCTGCCGCAATTAACGCAAAGTGTGCGATAAAGACGAACATAGGGTAAAAGCGCTTTGCTTCTTGTGTTGTGGTGATTTCGTTGGCAAAACGCCAGAATAAGAGGAATAAAACAATGGTTCCCCAAAGTTCAGCAAACAAATAGAAGACAGAAAATACCCAGTGTTCCCATACGGAAAAGAAGTGTTTAAACCAAGGGAGAGTTTCTTTTAAGTATGCAACGGTTTCGGGAGAAGGTTCTAAAAGCTCACGATTTGGATAAAGATAGAGATTAAAAGTCCAGAAAACGGCCATAAACATGGTGATTCCTAGGTAAAAAATTCGTTCTTGGTTGAAGATATTGGTCATTTTCGCGTAAAGGGTTGCGAAAATGAAGGCGATGGGAAGGATAATAAACCCTTTCAGGAACGGAATGGCTTCTGCGCCAGAAGAGGGAACGACGAGAGCATCTTTCGTGTTGCGCAGAATGGTGTAGTTAAACAAAACGAAGAACATCATTAAAGACATAGGAAGGAACTTTTTGATCTCAAATCCATGGATGGGCCAGACAAAGTTCCGGAGAGGGCTAAAAGTTTTAGTCGTCGGCGAAGGCTTCTCAGTAGCCATTAGAAATTATCCTTACAAGTAGTGAGGGGGGAACAAGTATCAATAATAGGAGTCGTACAAGGAGAAGAGGTTCTATTAAGAGTGCGATACGTTAAAAGCACGTAAGTCTAAAGCCCCAATCTAAAGGCAATCTAATTGCGTGAGCTATTTAACACATAACCTCCCTAAAAGGCAATCACCTTTCTCAGAAATGTTTGTTTTTTTGGGAAAGAAAGACTTCTAGGGAAAAGATGGATTTATTTTGATTCTTTTATTTTGTTGAACTAAGGGGTTTATTTTCCTCTTTTGGGTGTGATTTTAAAAATACATCGAATGGAATTCTTTTATCTAAGAGGGGAACATAGGTGTTTTCCAAATCTTCAAGGAGCGAGACAATTTTTTGGATGAGGGTGACCCGAGAAATGTCTTTTGGTATTTTAATGTCCACAGCCGTTAAAATACTCAAAAGGTCTTTTGTCGCGCTATTTCAACTGATTTTCCCTAAAACATATCTTGTGATCTCTTTGCCTTTTGGGTGGGTATAGGCAAGTTTTAAAAGGTCTCCTTCTTTGTAAATTTTAATATGTAATGTGACTGGAGATTCCGATCCTTTTTTCTCTTCCCATCCATGAATTATGTACTCGCCAGGTCCAACGTGCCTGATGTGAAACGGGCCTTCCCAGGGAAATATGTTGTCCATATAGAAAAATTCTTGATTAAGAACCTCTTTAATCCAAAGTGTTTCTAAAGTTGAATAGTCTGAAAGGGTTAAAATGGCATAATGTTGAGATTTATCGATGATTTCTTGGAGCGTTGTTGAATACCTAGAGGGGTGGAATTCATGAATTATCAAGAAAAGGAGGGCATGATGCTGCGCATATTTTACGGGATCTTTTTCTTGGTCGATAAGGTGATAAAGCTTTCGAAGAATGTTCCTTGTTTTGTCGTGAATGCTGCTTCTAAGGGCCACTAAATAATGGGCAATATCATGTTGAGCAAATTGAAGCGGCGTTAAAAGTTGTCCTCCATGCGGTTTGAAATCGTGGCTTAGAGTCACTGGTATAACGGTAATATGGTTCAAAAAGGCACGACTGAGGGATCTTAGGCCCATTAGGCCAGTGTCACTATAAACAAAATGAGGAAAAATCTTTGATTTTTTAAGATGTTCTCGAGCTTGTTTTTCTATTTTTCGAAAGTTCAATTTCCCCTATTTTTTGATTTCTTTATGTTCAAATAATTCTGCTTGAAGATGCCTTGAGGCGGTTTCTTTTTGTTCAACGATTTTTGATAAGGGTGATTTTTTGACATCTGAGAAGAGGACAAGGACTTGATAATGAAATAAGACCCACTTAGCCATGCTCATAGCCTTTTGAGTCATGATACGATCTATTTGTTTAAAAATGAGATCGAGATTTTTTTTCTCTTCATCACTTTCATTTTCTGAGGCTTTTTCTAAGAAGTTCTTCATTTGTACAAGAAGAACCGAAAATTCAGGGATATGCTTTTCTGTAAGAAAATCTCGATCAGAACGTTTTAAAAGGTGTTTTAAAGTAATGCCTGATTCAACCTGGTCCATATGGGTATTTAAAATGCTTTCAAAGTCTTGATGCGTGCGCATTTGATTTTCTGAGCTTCGGAGAATAAAGGAT